TAGCTCCGGAGCGATTTACATACTTCCCCTAGCTGAGGAAGCGCATTCCCAGTTTCAGAGACTTCCCAGTTATCATCCCAGATGGGCCCCCACTTGTAACCCCGACAGACCCCGGTCGTCATCAGGCGGGATTGAACTAGGGATCTCTGGAGCTAAGTGCATGAGCCTCCACTGCATGAGCTAAAAGCCATGGTGGTGGGAAGGGGGGAGAAGAGAGAGAGAGAGAGAAGTCTGCTACAGCCTTAGCACTCACTCTCTCTCTCTCTCATATATGTAACACCACACCCAGGAGGTGAGAGAGTTACATTAGCACAAACCATGTATTGAACTGCAGGTGGTGGCTTTATGATAGCACCTTGCCCTGGGACCATGCTGGAAGTGGGGCAGTGGTGGGAGGCGGCAGGGGCAGGCTAATAGGACATGCCACTATAGACATTCTGGCTTACACTGCAACCCACAGGCAAGGCTGATGTGACTAGGAGCCTGCCACCTTCCTTGACCAGGAACCGCCAGAGCCAGGACACGGGATGCTACTACTTGTCCTAAAGTTCTCCATATGGTGCTGTAACAGATTCACATCCTTGGCAGATCAGACACAGAAGGGGACTGGTAACACACACACACACACACGTTACACATTAACACTTTTCTTATCAATAGTTATGGGCTGATATGCACTTACTGGCTTCAACCACTTTTAGTTGGATGTACTAAAACTACTTCAAGAAGAGCCAGTATCTCTCAATATTTCCCAGCCACTAGAACCACTGACGTACTACAAATTTCATACGAATGCCTACCTTAAGGAGGCCTATTTATCCAACTTATGTCTGCCTAAGATCCAGGTAAGCAATGAATGAGGATGGAGGAAGCTTACTTTTGTCCTCGCCCCACTGCCCCAACTCCCAAGCCCCTTTGCAAAAGAGACAGTAGTAAACAGATACAGGCTCAAATCAGAAGAAGAATATAATGTTGTACAGCTGCTGACAAACACAACTAATGGACAACAAGACACCAAAATACTCCATTGAGGCACAAAGTCTTCATACATTCAAAGCGCAGCTGAATAGCTAATTCTACCAAAACATCCATATAACTGTCGTTTTACATTCTTAGCAAGGCCAGGAGAGCTATTAGCCAAATGTTCAATAGTTCTGCAATGAAAACAAATGGTACTCTATGAACTCTCAAGGGTGATGGAACTAGGTTTACATTTTTGATTACACTCCTTTTCCTTATGGCTAGGACATATGGCCTTTGCTGAATATATACTGGAGTCTCATCCAAAAACAGTTCTGGCCTCTAGTAACTTCAGTGCATCATTCAAGTCTTAATGTCTTTTCAAGGTTTTGAGAACTTCCTCCTTTCCAAGGTTTGTGTCCCAGGATTTTCAGCCCCAATAATTACATGTTGCACTAGCCAATAACCTGCACCGCCTGTTACTCTCAGTAATGCAATTTATACATTCACTACTAAACAATACTGTGATTTAGCAACCCCACACAGTTTTTGAAGGCTACATTATTTTGATTTGACAAGGATAAAATGAAACATTACATTAATTTTAAATTACGTTAAATCTATACAGGTGGGATAAAGTGGATCAGAGGTCACCATTTAGCACACAATGAATACAGTCACAGAAATCATTTCATTTTCTCCCAGTAAGAGCAGCAGATGCACATAAGAACAGCCATACTGGACCAAGGGTCCATCTAGCCCAGTATCCTGTCTTCTGACAGTGGACAATGCCAGATGCTTCAATTGGAACAAACAGAAGAGAGTAGTTTTGAGAGTGATCCATCCCATGTTGTCCAGTCCCAGCTTCTGGCCACTGGAGATTTAGGGAGACCCAGAGCACGGGATTGCATCTGTGACCATCTTGGCTAATAGCCACTGATGGACCTATCCTCCATGAATTTATCTTTTTTTTTTAACTCAATTATACCTTTGGCCTTCACAACATCCCCTGGCAATGAGTTCCACAGGTTGACTGTGCATCGTGTGAAGTATTTCCTTATGATTGCTGAGATTAATAGACAGCACGTTTAAAACGGAGGACTCCTAGTTGTGATATGTGAAGGTGTAAAGAGCACTACCCTATTCACTTTCTCCATACCAGTTATGATTTTATGGACCTCGTCATATTCCCCCCCTCCCCTTAGTTCTCTCTTTTCTGTGCTGAGAAGTCCAAGTCTTTGTAGTCTCTTCTCACATGGAAGCTATTCCATACCCTAATCATTTTATTGCACGTCTCTTCACCTTCTCAAATTCTAATATCTTTTCTGAGATGGGGTGACCAGAACTGAAGGCACCCAGAGGCATGCTCAGTCTTTTGTAGACAGGTCCCTGTCCACAAGAGCTAAGAATGTAGGTAGACAAGGGGATCTCAAACTGTGGGTCACAGTCATCATAAAGATTTACAACAGATCCAGAAGGGTTCCAGCCTCTCCATCTTTCTTTATGGCTAGATGGGAAGGGGTACCAAAAATGTTTTCTGTTTTAGCAGAGTCACAGTATAGAAGAGTTTCAGAACCACAGTACTGGAGTATACAAGACAAATGACAAAGAAAGGAGGGATTAGGAAAGAGATACAACGCAAGGGAATGTGTTACAATGATTGTCTTTTATGTACTCTGTTTCTACAGTGTCTAGCACAGTGGAGCCCCAATCATAAAAGTGGCTTCTGGACACTAACATAACAAAAATAAAATATTCTTCTTTGCATATTTTTTTTAATCCTTGTGTTTTGTTTTGTTTTTCCTGTTTAACACCTTTTCAGTTCCTTAACCCTAACTTATATTCAGTTCTTGGGAAAGGGGGCTTAACTCCTGCCTGTTTACCTTCCCTAGCCCCAAACCTGTCGTTATTTGGCTATTTCCCCTTTTAAACCATTTGTTCAGGGTGCACTAATGTCCATGGATTTAGAAGTGGGACTGGGTGTCATGAAACCTGAGTTCCACTCTTGGTTCTAAAACTCACATGCTGTGTAATTTTTGCCAAATCACTTACACCAAATTTTTTCCAAAATATCCATAAGTTTTTGATTCCTCCAAGGGCTTCATCCCTAGGCAGGTGGCTGTAACCCTGGGTGATGGGGCTCAGGCTTTGACCCTTGGCAGTGAGGCTCGGGCTTTGGACCCAGGTGGTGGGGCTTCCAGCCAGCCTAATGCCAGCCCTGGAGACCCCATTAAAAAATGGGATCACGGCCCACTTTGTGGTCCCAACCCACAGTTTGAGAACCGCTGCTATACACGAACGCAAGTACAATATTCATATTCCAGTTGGTTTCTTTTATAAATTATATGGCAAAAATGAGAAACCAAGCAATTTTTCAGGAGCATGCTGTGACACTTTTGTATTTTTAGGTCTGATTTTGTAAGCAAGTAGTTTAAGTCAGGTGAAACTTGGGGGATACACAAGACCAAATCAGACCCCTGAAAGGGGTACAGTAGTCTGGAAAGATTGAGAGCCACTGATCTAGAACATCATGCACAGATGCAAGCATTAAAAAGGCTATATATTGATTTGTAAGACCTTA